AATCACACAACACATGGTGACACATGTGGCAAACAAGGATAAAACACTTCCAGTTGCAAGCCTTAACATAGAAGGTGACAACTCCAATGTAAAAGGGAACTTAGAAAACAAAGATGGACATGAGGACAACCAAAAAAAACCTCCAAATCAAGCAAACCTGATAGAAAGGTAAAGACCAAGGGCAAGTGTTTGTGTGCATAAAAATCCTATTATTCCTTCCCAAGGGAATAGGAAGGGGTAATAAAGCAGAGCTCTCCAAACGATGTGTAACAACACATCAGTATGTTGGTTGCAGTGTGGATGTAATAAGAAACCTCTGAATCTATGTGAATTTTAAGGCACATATAAATGCACACTATCTAATACTGCAGGACTACCACTGACTATGAAAAATAACAAAATAGAGAAAAAGCAAACACAAAACATGTATATACACAAAAACAGTAGGCAGGGCATGCTGAAGGCAGCTTTGGATGGCAATCTTTCTCCAAAATCCCCAAGAATATTTTGCCCTGATGGAGTGACCTTTGTAAGCTCAGTCTCAGTGCATTAGACAGTCTGTTACAGAGCTTTCCAAGCATTTCATGTTGGTGATACATGTTTTAGTCCTGCATCACCTGGAGACACAGTAATTCAGTTTTACTAGCAACCAGAGATTAAATTAAGCCTGCATAAGAAATATGGACACAAACATAAACTGTGATAACAAAATGCATTGATACACAACATATCTAATGAAAACTGTTCATTTATATATATTTAAATACACGATTTATTACTTATTTCACATAGATCCAGAGATTTCTTATTAAGTTTGTGCAACAAGCTACACATTGCAGCTGACATATTAATGTGTCACGACACACCATTTGGAAAACTCAGATCTACAGTATCTCTTTTTTACCCTCAAATGTCAGATTGCTGTGTCCACAGCAAGTGAAGAAGTATAAGTGAATTGCCCAAAGCAATCAACTTATAATCAGACTTAGGCTGTGAGTCAGGTGCTTCAAGCACAACATATTAGATATTGCATTATCATGTCTCTGGTAAAAAAAAACCATAATGTATATATCTCTGTTCTATAATTTGCTATGTAATCATATGTAGAAGAAGAGATTATTGGGCTGATCATTTTGCACAGAGTTACTTAGCACTTTACTTATAATTGCATTTATTGTATTATTAATATTATATTCTCATCTTGTAACAAATGGAGCAAAACAGAAAGGAAGAAAGGAAGGAGAAAAGGAGGAAAGGAAGGCTATGAGAAGTCTGTGTTTTCCATAAACCTGCAGTCAACAACAAAACCAAAAGAACAACAACCCAATCTGAAAAAAAATTGACATTCTTCTGCCAAATACTGGAAGATAGGAGATACATTTTTTAAAAAGCCTGATAAAAAACAAAGTGTCAGAAATCCAAGGCAAAACAAATCAAAATTCGGAGAAAGACATCAAGGATTTGATGGACCTTTTAATCTTTAACTACTCTGATTTCCGTTAAGTCCCCCACAAATCACCCAAACAAAGTATTGCTCTCTCTGTGTTGAAGTCGTGCCAAGGTGCCAAGCTAACATTTAACTACGATGTGCGTCAAGGAATGGCCTCAGCCCTCAAAGCTCAGCAGAAGATTTCTTGCTCCTTCAGTGAACATGGGAATAACTTCCTTTCCCTGCTCCTTAATCCTTGAGGCTTGTTAAATCAGCAGAGTTGGGTTAAGGAGCAGTGGCTGTCCTTCAAACTCTGGAGGGAAATGGGCCACAGACCAGCAAGCAAATGTGTTATTATTTTGCTAGTCGCACGCATGGGATGACGATAAAGGGAAAAGGGAATGATAGTTGACACTAGAAATGTTGGGAGTAAACTGATGGGGGTTGTGGAGGAAGACAGCATGTCTGTCCATGTGAAGCATTGCAGAACAGTGCGTAGTCAGTTTAAAGATTGTCCAGTGGCTTTAAAGTAAAGTGGTTGAGCTATGAAGTGTGCATGAATGCTGAAGCAATGGATTACACAGCACAAGTAAAAAAAAACAAACCCCGCAGTGTCTTAGTTTTTAGGCCTATTCCTGGAGTTGTTTGCACCACTAATTCAGAACATTTCATTGGAAAGACCGCAACAGCTCTAGTTTATTAGATTTGTAGAATAAACTGTATATAATACATCTGCTTTTGCTATGAAATAAGTAGATTTTCATGTAGTATGCTTAATATGTTTCCGTCATATTTAAAAGATACTACTTTAAATAGTACTCTAAATATCCTGATTTTCTATGGAAGAGTAGATGACGACTAGTACATGACATATGTTGTGTATCTTTAAAAACTAGAGCAAAAGTGCGCGTGGGGGTGGGGGGTGGACTGGTGCTAATTTTGGAATCAGCAGGCCAAATGTACCTAGAAAGAGAAATGCACCAAAAAAATCCACTCTGGTGGCATCAACAAAAGAGAACAATCATGATGAGCAGTCAGAAAGAGAGGCTTTGTTAAAATGAGGTGCTTGGAAGTATTAGTATTTAATATCAATGGCATGAATGCCCTCAACAAAAGGTAATGGTATTTCTATATTTTTAAAATGTGAAGCAGATATCATGGCACTACAGGAGACTCAGATCTCCAGGAAGGACCACAAGTATTTAATTCAAAAGAAACTAGGCTTGGAGTTTATAACTTCCGATATGAAAAAGAAGAGGGGAATGGCCCTGTTTATAAAAGAAATTTCTAGCAGAACAGATAAAATCAGACAAGGAAGGTTGCTACCAATTAGTTACAATAAAAATTGCAAATAAAAAAAACTTAATCAGAAACCTTTATGCCTCTAACAGTGCCAGAGCGAAATTTTGCTAAAAATTCCACAAAGAAATTGCCTCAGTGGGTTATATTGACATAGTCCTTCTTGGAGATTTTAATGCAGTAGTAGACAACACATTATGTTGGAAGCTGCTTTGGGTCTCTTTGAAGGAGAAAAGCGTATTATAAATAAAGAATTATTATTATTACTATTATTGTTATTGTTATTGTTATTATTATTATTGAGCCGCGTGTGTGTGTGTTGGGGACACACAATTCTACAGCACACACACACAATTCATATATATACATACACAATTCATATATTATTGTGCTGTGTGTGTGTGTGTTGAGGGGCACACAATTCTACAGTACACACACACAATTCATATATATATATATATACACACACACACATAAACAATTCATATATATACACACACACACACACACACACACACACACACAGACCTCTCTCTCTCTCTATATATATATATATATCCATATGGGGGAGATAGATGGCTAAATAGATATATATGTGGATAGATATTCTACCATTGCCATGATTCCGTAGCATTGAGCTATGGCAGCTAAACTGGTGTCACAGTGCATTAATTCTACAGTGTAGACATACACTCCTAGCTCCCTATCATTTTGCACTTCAGCTACTTCAAAGATAACCACTTAAAGCCTAACCCTGCCAAGACGCAAGTGTGTGCTTTCCACCTACGAAACCGTGAAGCCAACAGGAAACTTAAAAGTCACCTGGAAAAGTCAAGAGCTTGAACACTGTTTCCATCCTAAATATCACGGTGTCATCTTAGTTCGAACACTAGCATATAGGAAACACTGCTTGAACACCAAGCACAAAGTAGCTGCACGCAATAACATCCTGCGGAAACTTACTGGCAGCACATGGGGTGCAGACCCAAAATTAGTAAGAACATCAGCCCTGGCATTGTCTTACTCAACTGTCGAGTATGCCTGTCCTGTTTGGCATAAGTCTGTCCACACAAAACAGGTGAACATAGCATCAAACGAAACATGCAGAATAACCACAGGATATCTTAAACCTACACCTGTTGATAAGCTCTACAAGCTAGCTGGCATTGACTCCCTGATGTGCGATGGGAAGTTGCTGCTAAATGTGAAATAAGGTCGAACTCTGTGAAAGCCACCCACTACCAGCCTCCTCCCAGTAGACTCAAATCAAGGGAAAGCTTTATGAGAACTACCACTCCTCTTGGCATTCCTCCAGCAACAGCAAGGGTATCCCTCTGGGCAGCAAGGGTATCCCTCTCAAATAATATGCTACAAGTCTACATAGGGACCACCAAATGCAGCGCCCAAACACAAATCAAGGAACATGAAAGGCACTGCAGACTACTTCAACCAGAGAAGTCAGCCATAGCAGAGAACCTGATGAACCAACATGGACACAGCATATTATTCAAGAACACAGAAATGCTGGACCACTCTAACAACCACCATGTCAGACTGCACAGAGAAGCCATTGAAATCCACAAGCATGTGCACAATTTCAACAGAAAGGAGGAAACCATGAAAATGAACAAAATCTGGCTACCAGTATTTAAAAAACCTCTAAAATTACAACAGCAAAACAACAGAGGGGAAACAATCAGGCACATCTAATCACCTCTCAACGAATGATTGCCCCAAGCCCTGCCAGGCCATCAAATGCTAATCAAGGTGGTCAGTTGAGACATTCACACCTAGCTCCAGCAGACAATAGTCCTTTGTTCCACCCTGGCCATTCCACAGATATATAAACCAATTTTCCTACTTCCAACAGACCCTACAATCTCTGAGGATGCTTGCCATAGATGCAGGCGAAACGTCAGGAGAGAATGCCTCTAGAACATGGCCATATAGCCCAAAAAATCCTACAACAACCCAGCCCACATATTGTTGTTGTGAGCCTTCAAGTTGTTTCCATCCTATTTTGCACTTTAAAAGTGCTATAGTTCCACTTGGAAACAATTTCTGGGATTCGTAGTTCAGTGAAGCTGTCAATCCAAGTTTAACGCGCTGAGTTGCCATGGCAGTGAAACAGCGTACAAATGTGGCAACAACACGATCAATGGTCAACTTCCTCCTTTAACCCTATGGAACGCCAACGATCCAATGAACGGCGGCGGCAGCCCCGCTGTCCAATCGGAAGCAAGCACAGAGGCCCTCGAGGCCCCGCCCCCGCCCCCGCCCGGCAAGATGGCGGCGCCCAGGAGCGCGGGCGAGGCGGCGGAAGCGGGCCTGGAGTCGGTGTTCCCTCAGGAGCTGGGCCTGTTCGCGGAGGCCTTCCCGGCGGAGGCGCGTTACCGGCTCTGCGGGCACGAGCTGAGCATCGCCCAGCACCACGGGGGCCGCCTGGGGGTGGCTGCACCCGTTTGGGAGGCGGTGAGGAACGAGGGCTCGGAGATCAAACCCCCCGAAGGCCTCTGAGCAAGCTCACACTCTCTCAGCCTCAAAGGGAGCCAAAAGCAATGTCCTCAACAGGACGAATAGTCCCTAGAAAGCGCTGAGATAGGACCACTGTAAGACAAAGGACCCTTCCACATTGCCACATAACCCAGAAAATCCCACGATACTGGGCTATCTGAGTCCACACTGCCATATAACCCAGTTCAAAGCAGATAATGTGGGATTTTATACAGCTGTGTGGAAGCGGCCAGAGTCTGGTTGAAGGCAGTTTCCAGCCACAGAAACATTAATCTTGTAATCCGTATATATTTTTAATAAACCTCCACTATTTCCTTCCAAAATGATTAGATTTCAGTCCTTTTGGTACTGCACATCTCTTCTAAACTATTTTAGAGTCCTCCATCTGTCTCTGGCCCCCTCTGCTCTGCCATACAATCCAAATTATCAAGGCATGTCATCCATGTTATCTGCCTTGAACTGGATTATTTGAGTCTACACGGCTATATAATCTGGTACAAAGTGGATCATCTGGCAGTGTAAAAGGGGCCTCTCTCTTGCCCCATGTACACAGACCATTTAAAGCAGTTTCAGGCAAGTATTGAAGAAAGTGATTTCACTGTGCAGATGATTATATAGGAAATCTTAAATCTAGTTTGATTACAACAAACTACAGAGCAGTGATGTATATTAAGGGCCCCCTCAACACCGCCATATGATCCAGATTATCTGCTTTGATCTAGATTATATGAGTCTCCACTGTCATATAATCCAGTCCAAATCAGATAATCTGGATTTCATACGGCAGTGTAGATGGGGCCTCACTTTTGTAGGAGTTTCTTCTCGGGCTTCTGTAATTTGGAGCTAGCTTTGAATTGAATTAAATGGTTAGTGTAGATTAGGCCTAAGGCCCCTTCTACACTGTCATGTATCCCAGGATCTGATCCCAGATTATCTTCTTACCCCAGATTATTTGACAGTGGAGACTCATATAATCCAGTTCAAAGCAGGTAACCTGGAATCAGATCCTGGGATATAAGGCTAATATAGAAGGGGCCTCAGTCTCTCCATATCCTTGCTTGATTTTTTTCTCTCTTCACCCACACAGTTATGCTTTGATTCATTCAGTTATTTGCCCATTCTGAAGATAAATGAGTTAATGTAGCACTTCTGAAATCCGCAACATTAAAAGGAAATGTGCTGAAAAAGGAGTCATGTAGATGTTATGCAACAAGGGCCTAAATATGGGGAAGGTGTGACTTGGGATATGAGTGTTATGGGTGACAAAGATGGAGAATTTAGTCATAATGGGAGACAAACAAAGTGTTTTGGAAAACTTTTTATTTTTTGGTTCCAATTAGAACTTGTATTTAGTGCATATGATGTATTGAGTACGATTCATTCAGGTTCTGTTAGAGCTAGAAAGCATAAACATCTTGCAACACTGCTTTCCTGTCTAAGAAAATCAGGAATGCATAATCCTGATGAATAGCTATTTTTGCATTGAGAGAGTTCATTTTTATTTATTGTCTACATTCTCAGCATGACTTGTGATGAGATCACTGTATATTAATCTGACTCTTGAAGCCTGGCATGGAGCCAGATTGATGTGCTGTAAGGAACATGAAACATAGGAAACTGTCTTAGTCAGATCAGTCTAATTATGTTTCTAGTTCAGTGCTATCTAGTCTGACAGTCACTAGATCCCCCAGGGCTTATTTAGATGATTTTCTCATCAATTATTTCATTTTCTTTCTTATTTTAAGTGTTCATTTTTCACTGACGAACCCAATTGAAAGACAAACCAGGCTTTTATTCCACTTAGCAATCTGTGACACATAGAGAGCCTGGAAAATATGTAAGGAGGGATGTCCAACTGGACTGGTATCGGTTTGCCAAGTGCAAACTCTCATAAGGATCTAAAATAGTTGCTTTGAGAGCTAAATTTCTTCTTTGAGAGGAGGGTTTACATTTGATAACATTCTGGAAAAGATGTTACTTAGTGTTGGGGAAGCTAGTATTGGAATGAATGGTCCTTAAAATGTGTGAAATGTCAGGCAGTAAGTGCTGAAACAATTTACAATAAGTAGAATATTTCATTGCACAGGAAGCTGTTTCTTAATTCTTCTGAAAGGGTAAATTGGTTCTGGTATACTAAGCAACACATGAGGTGGGGAGAACTCTGTCTATGCAGGATCTTCTGCTGAAAACAGAACACCCTTTTTCATTAAAGCAGTTTTGATCTGTGTTTTTTGTGTTTAATATTTCAAAACATATTAAATGTATTGTTTTCATTTTTCATCGTAATATCTCATTCTCTATTTTCTTTCAAGGCTTTAACCCTCTGTGAATATTTTGAGGCTGAGAAGCTGAACTTTTGGGGCAAGAAGGTTATAGAACTAGGTGCTGGGACAGGCGTAGTGGGCATCGTGGCTTCTCTCCTAGGTATGTAGAGCTCCTTGCATGAATGGATGGGGAAGTATAATTGTGAAATCTCTAGTCCTGGAGCTTCTACCAACATCTTTCTAATATATTCAGTCAAGGACTACGATATACAGAATACAAATGATCTGATTTCATAATTCAGGAAAGTCCCAATTTTCCCTGTTCATCTGACCAGCCGGTCGATCTCTAAGCACCTAAATATTTATTCAGTTTTGGCTCTATGAAACTCATACTTTGTACAAAGAGCTCCAAGTTGGGAAGGCTTTCTGGGTGCATTCTTTTTCCATTCTTGACACAGCTTCTTACTAGGATATTTTTACTTATAAAAGAAAATTCCCAGTTCTTTTTTATACTTGTTTTCAACTGAATCTTGGTGTCTCATAAATGTATTGATTCCCTCTGAAAAAAATCATGAGGCTTTGTGTTATCCAAATATATATGTTTTGCTTTATTTTATGTGGAATATAGTAAGGAATTTGGATAGGAAAAATACCTTACAGTGAGGAAACCTGTGGTTCCCCCTATGTTGGATTCTAGCCATCATGGTTTATGACCTGATATGGGAGTTGTTTGTCCTCCCTGCCATAAATGTAGCCTTAGCATACAGCTACAGAGAGTATGTAATCTCTCTCTGTTCTTACAGCAGATTAAATATTTGTATACCCAGAATGTCTTAAGAAAACATGACTGTAACTGACATCCCTTTCACAGATTTTTCTCCTTTTTTTCCAGGAGGTGATGTAACTATCACAGATCTTCCTGTGGCCTTAAAGCAGATAGAGGAGAATATCCACCGGAACTTGCCTGTGAAGTGTTTGGGTCGAACCAGAGTTTGTGCTCTATCATGGGGTGTGGACCACACCATGTTCCCTCAAAATTATGACTTCATTTTGGGTGCAGACATAGTCTATCTCAAGGACACATTCCCCTTGTTGATCAGGACGCTCCAGCACCTATCTAGTGTGCAGTCCACTATCTATCTGTCTTCCAAAATGAGGCAAGAACATAGTACTGCGTTGTTCTTTGAGACTCTGCTACCCATGCACTTCACCTCAGAACTGGCCTTCAGAGATGAGACTGAGAATATTAACATCTACAAAGTGACCAGCAAAAGTCATACAGGGCAGTGAGTTTGCCAGTTCACCATAGACAATGTGACAAAACACTACTTTCTCCACCTCTTTTTAAAAAAATGAAAATCCAGAAATCTTACTGAGTGAGTCACCAGTTCATGGGAGCTGCTCTTGAAGGTTTCTGCTCACCAGAGACTAACTTTTCTAATAATTACTTTCCAAGTTGACTCTTACAGTACAATACATTCCCTAGTCACTGCAAGAGAAAGAAAGATTGTATCTTAGAAGTGACAAAGCTGACGGATGTGTGCTCAGTGTTTCTTACCATGTCAAACCACCACCAACACAGCAAACTTGCAGATACAGACCAATTTATGGAATTAGGTTACTGAATACTTCAAATAATTACTGATAATGTTCAGAAGAAAGGATTAAGAGAAAAGTTGTAACAAGTTCTCAAAATATACAAAGAGTAAAAGGAAACCAAATACATTGTCCAGCAGCTGTGCAGGTTGTAATTAGCTGCTCTTGTTAGAGACAATCTTGAGCTCTTTTGTCCAATGTTTGTTTACAAAGCTCTCAGGTAATTATGAAGTTCTCAAGTAATTGGGACCACAGGCAATGAAATCCACAAAATGGAGATATATAATTGGGCCAAATACAAATCAGAGAACTTGTCACACTTTGTAGTCTCTCCAGTAAATCTATCCATTTTGTGGATTTGGATTTTGTTTTATTTTTCTACATAGCCAACACGTATCTGTTGGAGTTTGGTTCTAGGACCCTGCTGACTTTCTCCCGTGGATACCAAAATCTAAATGCTCAAGTCCCATTATATACAATGGTGTAGTAAAATGGCATATCCAGTATAAAAAGTAAATGACTTAAGTGCCAGAGAGAGCCTGGGGATCTGTAAAATGGCAGGAAGCTATAATTATACGTTTTTTTGGAGCTGACTACCTGAATTAAAAAACTCTAAAATCAGGACAGTAAATAAAGAGCAACACTCAAAAACAGGGGAATTCCTCACATAAAACAATCAGGGCCAGCTAATGCCTCCCAACAAAGGATCCCCCAGGCAGTAAGAAGCCAGACCTTGAAGCTGCAAGGCCATTCAGTGCTAATCAAGGTGGCCAATTGCAACATTCACGCCTGCTTCAAGCAGACAAGAGTTCTCTCTCCCGCCCTGGACATTCCACATATATATATACCTCACTTGTCCTTGTTTCCCACAGACATCACAACCTCTGAGGATACTTGCCATAGATGCAGGCGAAACATCAGGAAAGAATGCTTCTGGAACATGGCCATACAGCCTAGAAAACTCACAACAACCCAGCACAATAAATTGTTACCAAAGTGCACAAAATGACACCATGATGCCTTTTCTCCCTTTGAGAGATGCTTTTTTAATATATACTTTCTATTGTAATTTTTATAAGCTCAGCATTAAACTATTTACCTATGCATTCCTTTTTTCATTATAATGTGTCATCTCATTCTTTTAGACTCCTAAGTTTCTGTTCACTATGATATCTAAAAATAACTGCATGTGAATGTCCCAAGTGCTGTTTTATTCCACATGTTCATTACAAAAGCTGTTGCAAGTAAAATTTGTACTGTGTCTCATTTTTTCTCATTGTAATTGCTTGGAAAACTACCCTAGCATCCATGGTTTTAAAAGAATTTTGGGACTGTGTATGACACACAGCTGGTTAACAGACAAAAAGTATTTGTTTATTACATGGCATCCTCCACTAACTATATATCCATTGACCACTTATTTAAGAATGTGTATTACTAAGCAATTAGATAGTATTTTTAAAATTCTCAAAGATTATCTTTTGCATTGTTACTCATTACAGCTGCTTTGAAGGACACAGGATGATGAAATTAATCTTGCATCAAATCAGGGAATAGGGTGATTAAACACAAATTATATATTTAAGGGATGACTGGGATTTGTGGATGAGCTAGGATTTGTACAGGGGGCTTCCCAGACTGTGCTTTTAACTATTGATAGGGGAACTACAGGGTTACTCAATTTCCTCTGGTCTGACATTTCTTTTCCAGAAATAAGAAGGATAAAACCCCCGTAAAAGAGCACTGATGGAATTAAAACAAACAAACCTTGATATAATTTCCATGTACTCAGTTGTATGTTCCTAAGCCTCTATAACAAGCATGGGGAATATGTGGCTGCATTGCAGTTCCCATCAATCTGAGTCAGCAATGAAGAATGATTGGATTTTTAGTCTGATAACATTGTACAGGTCAAATGGTCTCAAATACAGTTATTCTATTACGTCTGACTTGGCCATGGTGGTCCATGCCTTAGTTACCTCTAGATTGGACTATTGCAAAGCACTCTACGTGAGGCTGCCCTTGAAGATGGCCTGGAAACTTCAATTAGTCCAACGATCGGCAACCAGACTGCTAATCAGAGCAAATTACAGGGAATGGTCTACCCCCGTTTAAGGAGCTCCACTAGCTGCCATTTATTTTCCCATCCCAATTCAAGGTGCAGGTTATCACCTACAAAGCCCTGAACGGTTTGGGACCCGCCTACCTTCATGACTACATTTCCTTCTACGAATCTACGCGATCCTTTTGATCTGGGGAGACCCTCTTGCACCCACCTCCATTGCAATCGTGACTTGTGGGGACAAGGGAGAGGGCCTTCTCTGTGGTGGCCCTTGACTCGAACTCACTTCCTGGAGAAATTAGGCAAGTGCCCACCCTGGCAACCTTCAGGAAGAGCCTAAAAACCTGGCTGTTCCAGTGTGCCTTTGAGGAATGAACAATAATCCCCATATCTTGACCAACTCAGCACAAAATGCCCTTCGATGCACTTTATCTCACGCGTCAGTGAAATTAAATCCCATTGTTCCACCTGAACCTCCCACCAGATACACTACCCTTATTATCTCACCCAGGATTTTTTAAAAAATTATCTTTGTGATTGGCCCTGCCTGCTCTGTTCAATTCTTTTGTTATTTTATGTCATATCCTGTGTTTATTTTGTATTATTTTTTCTTTTCTTATAATTTTGTTGATGTATTATTATATATTGTATTTTTGCTTTGCTGTAATTGTTGGGCTTAGCCTCATGTTAGCCGCCCCGAGTCCCCTTGGGGAGATGGAGGCGGGGTATAAATATCATTATTATTGACTCAAAAGCACAGTATGTCACAGCAAACGGGATCTAAATGCTGGATTTCATATCACAAAATCACAAGTCGAACACTTCCCAAGCGTCTAGGACTGTGTGATGTATTTTTGAATGATGTGCACAGATCCAAGTAAGGTGGCCTTTTGTAGTTGACAGATCTTGATTTTGTCAATGTTTATTGTTTCCAAATGCCAGCTGAGATCTTTTGGCACGGCACCCAGGGGGCCGATGACCACTGGGACCACCTGTACTGGTTTATCAGTCTGTTGCAAACATGGCTCCAGAGCAACTGGGAAACTTGGGGAGTACTAACTAGCCACTAGCTAGCCGGTTTTATCCGGATGTACTGTTATCCTTGAATAATTCTTCTCTGGAGCACTGATTTCTCAAGCATTCAGCATTTTCTGTAAACATAGGCCTACTGCAGAAATAGGCCAATATGGCAGTAAATCAGGACATATGGGCATTAGGAACATCTCTGAAAATTCCTTTTTTAAAAAAACCACGTCCCTTCTACTTGAAAGTAGTTATAAACCAGAAATGTCCAATCTCGATAAAATCGTGAAGAGTAGAGACATCACACTGGCAATGAAGATCCGCATAGTTAAAGCAATGGTATTCCCCATAGTCACCTACGGATGTGAGAGCTGGACCATAGGGAAGGCTGAGCGAAGGAAGATAGATGCTTTTGAACTGTGGTGTTGGAGGAAAGTTCTGAGAGTGCCTTGGACTGCCAGAAGATCCAACCAGTCCATACTTCAGGAAATAAAGCCTGACTGCTCATTGGAGGGAAGATAGTAGAGGCAAAGATGAAGTACTTTGGCCACATAATGAGAAGAAAGGAAAGCTTAGAGAAGACAATGATGCAGGGGAAAATGGAAGGAAAAAGGAAGAGGGGCCGACCAAGGGCAAGATGGATGGATGGCATACTTGAAGTGACTAGATTGACCTTGAAGGAGCTGGGGGTGGTGATGGCTGACAGGGAGTTCTGGCGTGGGCTGGTCCATGAGGTCATGAAGAGTCGGAAGTGACTGAACGAATGAACAACAACAACAATTCCCATGGCCGGAATCACTGGGTTGTTGTAGGTTTTTTTCGGGCTATATGGCCATGTTCTAGCGGCATTTTCTCTTGACATTTCGCCTGCATCTATGGCAAGCATCATCAGAGGTAGTGAGGTCTGTTGGAACTAGGAAAGTGGGTTCATATATCTGTGGAATGACCAGGGTGGGACAAAAGACTCTTGTCTGCTGGAGCTAGGTGTGAATGTTTCAACTGACCACCTTGATTAGCATTTGATGGCCGGGCAGTGCCTGGTGGGGCAATCTTTCGTTGAGAGGTGTTTAGATGTGCCTGATTGTTTCCCCTGATTGTAGCCCGAAAAAACCTACAACAACCCAGTGATTCCGGCCATGAAAGCCTTCGACAACACATATGCTGTATTGGTTGAGTCTAGGAACCTCATCACACTAGAGAATGAATCCACTTTAAATTCAGTCACTGCCTCCTGCAGAATTCTGGGATTTGTAGTTTAGGGAGGCGCCTTTAACAGCCTCACTAAACTACAAACCCCAGAATTCTGCAGGAGATGGATTCATTCTCTAACGCGATGAAGTAATAGAAGATTCCACCTGAACATGAGGAAGAACTTCCTGACTGTGAGAGGCGTTCAGCAGTGGAACTCTCTGCTCCAGAGTGTGGTGGAGGCTCCTTCTTTGGAAGCTTTTAAACAGAGGCTGGATGGCCATCTGTCAGGGGTGATTTGAATGCAACATTCCTGCTTCTTGGCAGGGGGTTGGACTGGATGGCCCATGAGGTCTCTTCCAACTCTTTGATTCTATGATTCTAAGAGATTCACTGAAGAACTATAGCAAAATATGCTGAAGGATCTGTTCCAAAAAAACACCAAATTTTTTGCAGTTTAATAAACGTTTCCCATGTTTTTATGATAGAACCAATTAGGAAATGGCATTCATAACCTAAGAACAAAGATAGCGTTACAGAGAGAGTTATTATAGCAAGGTCCCCGCCCCTTTCTCCTCTCCTGTAACCAATGAAACACCTTGATGCTTTCGAACCGGACGGCTTCGAGAAAATTGTCCCTCGTAGCGCCTTGTAGAAGCCTGTGACTTGTCAAGCGCGCGCCTTAAAGAAACAGCGGGCCCTCTCTCAATGCGACAAGAGATGATCTGTGATTGCGCAGGCGCAGAGTAAGATTTACAGCTTCGTGGAGTCCCGTAGAAGGTTGTGACGTCTAATACAAGCGACTCCATGAGGCAGAAGATGGCTGCTCTTGGCAGGGTGCTGGTCTTCCCTCAGAAAAGAAATACTCCAGTAGGACAGGTGAGGGAGGCTTCGTTGGCCATTAATTCTCGGGATTTCCACCTTGTGACCCAATAGCTACTTTTCCTCCTTGTTTTAAAATTATTACACAATATTTAACGCAAGGCTCCTAACTTACAATCAGGGCAATCCACATTCAGGGAAAAAAGGGGGGAAAGTGCAACGAAAAGAAGAGGAAGGAGGAAAAAATATCGATATAGCTCATGTAATTAAAAGTAACAGATAACACTTAGCACAATCTAAACTAAAGACTCTGAACTTCTGATTCTAACTGCAATAAAAGGGAAAAATATATCATTCTACCATTACAGATATGAACTGAATAATCCTATTACTTACTAATAATTGTAACCAGTTATTATTACTAATATAGCAGTTATTAGTAATAGGAGCATTAGATTTCTAGTCTTTCAGGAAATGTCTTGTTCTAAAGGTCCATAAACGATTTCCAGTATTTTTACATTGATTTGTTGTTTAAAACCCACGTTAGTTTGGCAGTGTGTGCTGTCTTTTCACACTTACTATGAGATGCCCCTGATGGCACAGTGGGTTAAACCCCTGTGCCGGCAGAACTGAAGACTGAGAGGTTGAAGGTTCGAATCCGGGGAGAGGTGGATGAGCTCCCTCTATCAGCTCCAGCTCCTCATGCAGGGACATGAGAGAAGCCTCCCACAAGGATGATAAAAACATCAAATCACCCGGGCGTCCCCTGGGCAACATCCTTGCAGACGGCCAATTCTCTCACACCAGAAGCGACTTGCAGTTTCTCAAGTCACTCCTGACACGACAAAAAAAACAAAACCTTACTATTAGTGAGGTTGTCCCCAGTTCAAGCTATGGATGAAAGTTTTTGTACCCCTTAAAGCAGGCACAGGCAAAGTTTGGCCCTCCAGGTGTTTTGGACTCCCAACTCCAACATTTCCTAACCCAGTGTTTTTCAATCTTCCTAATGCCACGAGCCTTTAATTCAGTTCCTCACGTTGTGGTGACCCCCAACCATAAAATTATGTTTGCTACTTCATAACTATAATTTTGCTACTGCTATGAATTGTAATGTAAATATTTGATATGCAGTATGTATTTTCATTCACTGGACCAAATTTGGCACAAATACCCGATACATCCGAATTTGAATGCTGGTGGGGGTAGGGAATTGATTTTGTCATTTGGGAGTTATAGTTGCTGCGATTTATAGTTCACCTACAATCAAAGAGCATTCTGAACTCCACCAACGATGGAATTGAACCAAACTTGGCACACAGAACTCCCATGACCAACAGAAAATGCTGGAAGGGTTTGGTGGGCATTGATATTGAGCTTTTGGAGTTGTAGTTCACCTACATCCAGAGAGCACTGTGGACACAAACAACGATGGATCTGGACCAAACTTGGCATGAATACTCAATATGCCCAAATGTGAATGCTGGTGGAGTTTGGGGAAAATAGACCGTGACATTTGGGAGTTGTAGTTGCTGGGATGTATAGTTCACCAACAATGAAAGAGCATTCTGAACCCCATCAACGATAGAATTGGGCCAAACTTCCCACTCGGAACCCCCATAACCAACAGATAATACTGTATTTTCTGATGGTCTTTGCCGACCCCTCTGACACCCCCTTGTGACCCTCGCAGGGGTCCCAATCCCCAGGTTGAGAAATGCTGTCCTAACAGCCAATAAACTGGCTAGGATTTCTGGGAGATGAAATCCGAAAAACCTGGAGGGCTGAAATTTGCCCAAACCTCTTTAAAACACGAAGACTGCTATCCATAACTTTCATGGAGTGACCATTTTATTATGGAAGTTTAGCCTTTTGTTTTTTGCCTGTAGTTCTTCTGTGTAACATAAAAAAAACACTCTTAAATTAACTTAAACAGTCTCCCTGCAATACAGGCATAAAAATATGAGATGCAAAAAGTAAGTGAAAAGAGAGAAACCAAACGTCCCCTAGCCTCTGAGTCATCATATTCCACTGCTAAACAGCTCTCGCTATCAGGAAGTTCTTCCTACTACTTAGGTGGAATCTTTTGTCCTTCAATTTGAATACCTTGCTTATGTCCTGATCTCCAGGGCACATATCTAGTTATACAATTTAGTGTGTTCTTCCATGTTTTTTTCAAGAAAAGAAAGTCTGGCATAAATGCTGAAGACCAAGATGGTGTCAGCATTACTAGAATCTCCATTCATTAGCTAAATGTCACAAGAAATCTAACTCAGTGTGTTTATTGTGAATCCCATGGGGAAATTTGCAGGTGGAGACTGATATAGTGGTTATCAGAAATAATATTCTTAAGTAAAGATAAAATAAAGAAGTGTGCATTGAGACTGAATGGTATAAAGATTATCTGTGACAGGCCTCAGAATTAAAATCTTATATGGTGAATATTTAACCTTCCAGTTATTTTGAACCAAATATCATATCATCTTACCATTGACCTTGACAAGTTGGGTTTATGGAAGTGGTGGGCAAAAACATTGTTATGGCCAAAGCTTCCCTACTCTTGTGCTACACTGTTTCTTGTGTAGTTTGCTTTCAGCATCTGGCATATGTTTCCTTGACATGTTTCATTTTATTTCCCTTGACATACTGCGATCACCATCTGGAATGGTGTCAGCACCTCTTAACATTGATCCTCTTGGGGAAATAAGGGCTGTTGAATCCCTGTAGTTGACGTCTTTGTAAATAACTTGGGTTGGGGAACACAGAGCTGTCCAAATGTTGTGGGACAGCAACATTCATGATTCACTAGCACAGATGACACCTCAATAAGAGTTGTTTTCAAATACTGCTTGGAGGGCCACATGTTTTCATTACAGCCTTAGATAAAAAACAAAACAACTGGCTTTGATCCATATGTAACATTGCAAAGTCTTGACTGATCAACAGAACTTGGACCATCATAGTAGCTTGCCTTATTTGCTCTTGCAGCTTTGCCATTCTTTCTACCAAAGCTGAGAAAGGAGATTACATTTAATTGCAGATAGTCAGAATAAAAAACATTTTAGGTCCTCATGGTACAATACAGTATCAGGGACAGCCTTGGTTTTTTACCCATCATTTAAAGCAGGTAAGGTAATATGTACAATTATTACATTTTCCAGGCAATGAAGAATAGTATCACTCCTTGTTTTGCTCTCTCCAGAGCACGAGATGATGTGAGTTGCCAAGTATATTTGCAGATCTTCCGAAATACTATTTTCTCAGCTGCTAATACATTAGTAGCACTACAGTTATTAATCTATTTCCATGTATATTATGTTCAGTGGAGACGCCCAATAAGTATATGTGTATGTCTTTTCAAGTACGTTTTTCAAGTACTACCTCCCTAAAGAGGTGCAATCAGCTCCCTCCCTAATGGCCTTTCATTTGCAAATTAAAACCTTTTTGTGGGCCCAGACCTTTCCTAATGACCCCAAATAGCTCTGGTAATTGCACATTTTTAAAAGCCAGTTTAGACCTGGCAATATTATTATTGATTTATTAATGTATTAATATGTTTTAAATATGTGTGATAACTGTTCATTTGGTTTATGATGTTTTTTTGTTGATTATTTTCATGTTATGTTTATTTTTGCTGTTCTAGTTTTGTACGCCGCTTTGAATCCCACCCATGAGAGAAAAGTGGGATATAAATAAATAAATAATAACATTCATGAGTTCACTTTGTTAAATCTTCATCTCCCATTTTTTAGAGAAGCAATGGCCTATCTTTCATATCTTTTCACTCTTGTTCTTCTTTCTTTCCCCTTGCAGTTTCTTGGTGAACATCTTGCCCGTTTTCTTCATACTGGCCTTCCAGTACTAGCAGCAAAAGAGCTTCTGGTGAAGCTTAGGAAGAAAACTGGTTACTCATATGTAAACTGTAAGAAAGCCTTGGAGAAATTTGATGATGATCTTAAAGAGGTGAGAAAAATATTGGTGTTTTATATAAACATGTTCATTTTTGTATTTTCATCTTCTCTAAATCAAGCTTTGCAAGACTGTCGAATAAAGCAGAGGTGAGTAATTGTAGAAGTTCTCTGCTTCTGCCCCTCTCCATTTCCTCAGGCAGCTAGAAGCCCATTTTCGGGTTTTAAAAAGCAAAGTTAAATGGGAGTGGAAGGCTGTGACCTATTTAAAAGATGAATTGCCTCATTTTGTGGTTTCCAGGAGAGATAATTCATTTGCCTTTTCTGCAGGAAAAGTGTGATCTGGACAGTCTGAAGGAAATGCAGGCCACCAAAGCACTGCATGAAGCAAATATAGCTCTTTAACCAGACTTTGCCCACATCTATAATACTGAGAAACATGTGGTACATCCGCTGTTTTTATACACTCTATTTTACTGTCATTTTACTGTAATCTACACTGATGAAGAATTACATCCCATTGAATTAAATGGGGTTTATTCTGGAGTAATATGGCTAGAGTGTGATTGGAAGCAAGTTTTGAGAGTTCACCAAACAGTAGATGTTTGCAACCTAGTTGCATAGTTAATTACTGTGAAAGATAAGGGGAACCCAGTAGGAGAAATACCATAGATAGAAGTTGATTGGGCAATTGCAGAAGAGGGCAATTTTTTGTCCTTATGCCCTCTGCAATGGGTTGCATTATTTGAGGATGCAAAATGCAATTTAAATGTGTTCACAGGTTTGCAGTCCTTGTAGTTTCAGCAGAATTTGGCAAGTTTTTTTCCTTTTCAAGAAGGGATTCAGGGTGTGCAAAAAAGAAACGGCTGCATTTTCATGTACTTTGGAGTTGTTCTTACCCATTGATGTTTATTTCCCTGGAAAAGGAAGGTTGGACGGAGGATCACAGGAGTTTTGGGGTAAAGAAGGATTAACACATATATACCCCACAAGCTACATTTTCTCCACCTCCGCTATAAGAGCTCACTGGAAAAACAAAATACTGACTTACGTAAAACAACAGGCATTTTGAAATGTGTTTGCTATTAAGGAAATAACTGTTTGCTCAAATGCTGGCAGATAAAGAAGTCCGTGAATTGCATACTGATGAGCATTTGATGAGCATTTGATAAATCTCTGTACAGATGTTTACCAGATAACCCATTTCATGGCATTACTAGCAAGTAACCCTAAGCAGTGTATTAAATCAGAGTTAAACATTGATTAGTATCGTCCAGAATGTACAGCTGATTGGATTGGTATGCATGTTATAGTTGGGACTGTCGTACACAAATGGCAGTTGTTCATTTAAGTGTGTTCAGTTGGGGTTTATGTTATATTTACTGAGTTTCTTTGCAAAATTATTATGATATCACATTCCAGCACTCTTGTGCCATCACAAGTTTTCTTTTTTTTCTGCTTACTGGATATTTGTTTAAATCACCTTTGACATTCTGGGTGAAAGGAGGAAGAGCACTATTGGCTTTGGACTGCCATGTTATGCTGGGACCCTTCCCCTTTCTGTTGCAGTTTCCCACATGCAGGTCCTCTTTGAAATGGGAGATACCAAAACCTCCCCCCTCCCCCCGCTCTTTGCATTCTGCCATTGTGCTTTCATTTGGTCTTTGAGTTGTTCATTGAATTATCTTGACTGTTGTGTCTAAATTTGGCGGGGCTTGATTTTTCTTTCAAGGCTGAAATCTGGCTTCATGAACAAGCCCAAAAGGAGGGCTGGAGCAAAGCTTCCAAACTGCAAGGGAGGAAGACGAAGGAAGGGCTGATAGGGCTGCTACAGGAGGCAAACTCGGCGGTGATGGTGGAGGTGAGCCTGTTCCTCCTCGTAATAAAACATCTTACAGTTCCAAGGTCAGTTTACTCTTTGGGCAAGGAATATATATTAGGCACATTTCCATTGATCCTTTGCTCAGTGTAATTACACCAGGGGGACAGGAGATGCCAAAGGAAGAGGCATTGGAGTAACAGAGAGTGTGACTTGGCCAGGGTCTCTCAGCCTCAGAGGAAGGCACAGAATAATATGGGACTAACACAGGAGAAGGGACCACAGGTGCAGAGGCATGAAATCCAATTTGGGTCCCCAGATGTTTTTGTGAAAGGCAACTTTAATCACTTTTGATTATCCACCGTGGAGACTGGGGATAATGGAAATTGCAACCCAAAAGCACTTATGGCTCTGAGGTTGGGGAAGGTTAAAAGACATTTTGAACTCAGTCAGTCATCCTCTCCACATTTATCTTTATAGAATAAACCACCCTCTTTTTCTATGCTTAGTACTTCTAATATTCTTCTTGCTTCCTGAACAAAATTTTAGTTGTTGACTATGCAATTAAAAGCTAACTGTGCTTCTCTGGCAGGTAAACTGTGAAACAGACTTTGTGGCCCGAAATGCCAGGTTTCAACACCTTGTTCAACAAGCAGCAATTGGAACAATGAACCATTATCAGGGGACCATGAACCAATTAAACACATATGCAAAGGTGAGTGACCTAAAGGCTTTGTGAAACCTTAAGCAACAGATGCAGGTTAGCAGTCAGTGTTGGTCACGTGAACATAGTGGGTTAGATCTTCACTAAATCATGAGCTGAGGAAGCCCAATGGAATTAATGAAAATATTATTATTATTATTATTATTATTATTATTATTATTATTATTACTATTATTTGAAAGACTCCTGGGGGAGTCTTAAATCTTGTTGCACCACTCACTCACCAACTCCTACATTCAGTATACACCATCAATGCACATCATAGTGCCTGTTGTGGTTCAACAGCAACAGCATGATGGGACTGAAAGTGCAGATGAGCATGATGGGAATGGGAATACA